ATGAAAATGATGCAATATTCATTTTCCAAGCTAATTTGTGTGTTTAAATTAAAGATATGAAGAAATTTTTTAAAGGTTATCCTCATCAATAATATGATAAGTGCAACAGTTAGTCTGTTATGTTATTCAAGTTATTATCAACAACAATACGATGAATGTGATAATGGCAATTATTGCTTTTTTTTGGAAGATTATTCAATGCACAACCCAATTAATACACAAAATCATACACGGGGTTGTGAACAGCGGGGTCACTGTAAGGTAATTATTACTGTAAAGCCTACTACCGTGAATAATTACTCAATTGAAATGGTCGATTACAGTATTAAGTTACTTCATGGTTGGTTACGGTACCAATTACTGGATGGAAAAATAAAGTATAAGGAAAAAAAGAAAGATGTAAAACTGAAAAGGATGCTAAGGGAATGAGATATTTCCTTCTTTTTTTTTTGTTCCATTAACTAATATTTATTTTTGATCAAAAATTTGACTGGTAAGAGCATTTTTTTTCTTTGAATTTTAAATTTTTTTAAAAATGGTAAAAGTTCAAATTTGTGCAAATTATCAAAGGAAAACTGTAAAGAAAAGGGAAAATTCTTAATGAGTTAATTAATATGTCATTATTGCTTTTAATGATTCCTTTTTAATTTATTTCAGACATTGGTTGAAAATTTGAGTGGAAAAATTTTAACAAAATATGGTTTGACACATAAATGTGGAACATTTATGACAACTGCGACAACATTTGCAGATTTATGTTGTTGTAATTATGATTGGTGTAACAGGTTAAAGTTCAATGAATTACCAATAGTAATGGATGGCAAAAAAAATGAATGCAACGACAAAGATGAAGAAGAGGGGATGAAAGAAAACGAAAAGAAGTATTCAACAATTCATTTTTAATAAGATAATTCTGGAATTGCAATTACATTTATTATTAAAGTCCCTAAATTCGATCACATTTTTTAATATAAAATCTATTTTTATTTGTTTTTTTCATATAATTGGCTTATTAAATTTAACCCTTAAAATCAAATTTCTTTTTTTTTTTAATTTAAAATTATTGGATACATTGTTGCTATGGCTATTCTTTTGATGTACTTCTACAATTCGATGGTATTACATTCTTATTTCATTTCAGAATTCCATTTAATAATTTTTTTAAGTAAATGATATTAAATTCTTTAACAAATTTCAAACAATCTTTTCAAATAATTGAAACCAAAACTTGAATATTTAAATTAAATTTGCTTGAAACATATAAAATTGATTGAAGGAAAAGAAAAAAAAAGATATATCATTCCTTTCTTCTTTTATTTTTTTGATACGTGAAAAGATTTTTTTTTGTCGCCTTTTTCCTTTATTCTTTTGCGGAATCTTTCATATAGTTTTTTGACCAAACATCAAAGATTCCTTACAATTAGTTTGGTTGCGTAATTAATACTCACATATATTTGTATATATATATATATATATGTCGTTGATGATGTATATCAATGTTAGCAGCAATAAGAGAGTTAACCATTGTCCACTCCATTTATGCATGAGAAAGGATTTCCGATCGATTAGAAAATTTATGTGACGCAGTTATTGGGCCATGAGACATGATACATCATAAATTACTGGAGTATATAGATAAAAGTTATCGCATAATATCCATTTGACATTGCATAGTACCGACGTGTCACTCTCTTTAATAATCACAAATCATATTATAATACTCACGTATCATTCACTAATACCTACGTATTATTATGTCACCAATATGGTATATAGGTAACAATCAATATATTATTAAATTAATTCATTCACATTTACTCTAACTCTTATTAATTTAATTTTTACTTTTTATTAAGTTCTTTTTTTTTATTGCTATTTTTTTTAGTACTATTTTTCTTCTAAATTTGTGATTTACAATTTTAATTAATTATTAATTTTATAGCAGCAATGCTTGTTTTTACATTTCCTCTTTGTAAACGTTAAAATGCATTAGCTTTATAGAAAAAGAACAGTTGAAAATAATATTAAACGATGAAAAGAAAGTGCTAATTTTTAAAAAAAAAAAATTGCTAATTTTTTGTTTAATGATTTTTTTCTATTATATTATTAACATTTTGAAATATCACTAACGTTATTTTATATTCCAATATTTTATAAATATGTCTCATTCATCATGATATTCATTCTTGTATATCATCAAATGATTGCAGTTCAAAGTTCAATTCGAATTTCAATGTTATCATATCTTTTGCAGAAAAATTAACAATAATTAATTAATAATCACACACAATTGCATATATATATATATATATATATATATATATATATATATATATATATATATATATATATATATAA